CATGGGAGAACAAGCAGCTCGCTGAGCTTCAGAGAGTCACCTAAAGAGAGCCAGCGCACGCGTCAGGGTCACAAGGCCATGTGGACAAACCGCACTCGGAAGGAAGCATCGTCGTGGGAGAGGTCAGTGTAACAGACGGCAGTGATGGGATGGAACGGAGACCCGTCCGGGGTGGGAGTGTGAGGCCACCCCTGAGTTGCAGCCGGGCTTATCTACAAGAAACAAAAACAGGTTTCAGAAATGTCTGCTTCATCTGTAAAACCCAGACCTTCGAGGAATCATTGAAGGCTGCCATTTTGGGACTGTTAATGCTCTGAAATAAAAGGATACATAAATTAGAGTGATTTTAATAGCCCCCGTTTCACATGACTGATAAAAATGTTTCGGAATCAATGTGAAAAATACATTGATTTTTTAAGACATGGTTTTAAAGAAAAATAAAGTTTGACTTTTCTGCTGGATCTCATCTACTCTTTTGCTTGTGAACTTGGTTTCAAACACTCCGGGAAGCCTCAACTCTCCACGAAAATCTGAGGCTGCCAATGCCAAGTGAACCAGCAAAGTACTGACAGCCATTCACCCTTCCTCCAGTGAGACTGTATGTGTGACAATGGATTTGAACAATTCCACTATTATGTAGTGGTGAAATATTCATAACATTGTGATAATTCCAAATGTTTCAGCCCCTTCCTCTGAGGAAAGGATATAAGTGGGGCTTCTGGTTCAAATACGAATGCATTTCATTTAAGGTGCAGACAGCACTGTACAAATGAGAATGACTCGATTATTTCTGTGCATCTCATGGCTCTGATACACTTTCAAATTCAATTGGTTCTGCCTATTTTTAAGTGGCTCAAAGCAACCTATCGAATGTGAGGAACAAATAAATTCCAGGTTTAGGCAATGCAGGATGCAATTACGTAAGGTCGTCGGATCAAGTAAAGCAGGCTTTTGCTTGTCTGGGTTTGAATTCTGAATTCTGATGTCAGGTTGCTTTATTGTCCTTTCAGAACTACACATTCTCTTTCTTTGTCTTGCTCTTTCTCGAAAACCTTACAACCTGTTTAAGAGCCAGAAAAGCTCTAGCTAATATAGTTTGACTGGAGCCACAGGAAATCTGGAAGAGTAGGCAAGTTTAAGAACAGGGAGAGACAGACAAGAACAGATGGGATGAAATTTGGTAGAGTAAAATAATGCAGTAACTCAAGAAAGAGCATAGTGCATTGTTCAAATGCTGAGGACATGAGTCATTTGAAATCTGGTCACTGAGTAGTGAATCCTTAGGTGAGGCAAATCTGATCATACTACCATAAGTGCTGGTATTTAAATTCTCTCTGGATAATAAATTCTTTTAACTTGGCCCGCTTAGAAAGGGATAGGCCAAATTGGCTGAGACACAGATCTGGTGTGTGTGTGTGTGTGTGTGTGTGTGTGTGTGTGTGTGTGTGTGATGGGTGATGCCCAATAAAATCTTCATTATTTATCGTGACAGAAGTGCTGGATAATTTTTATCTTTTTTATTATTTAAAGCATTACAAATAGTAGTACATATGTCTCCTTTTTTGGATAATTTTAAAAAATACTTCACATACACCAGAACCTTGATTTATTGAAGTGATTTCCAAGGTAAATTTGATAAGATTACACCTGTACTGTTTAGTGAAAAATGAATGTACTGTCACCAAGAGTAGTCTCTTAAACCTGCTTGGCCAGCTTTGGATCACATTAAACACTTATGTCAATCCGATTAATAGAATGAAAATGTGTGGTGCATACATGAGAAAAGTTTGCTTTTTCAGCTTCCTCAGTTTGTAAAAACTGAGCAGCAGCACTTTTTACTGCACATGTTCACACTTGAGCATACTGACTGCATGTGATGGTTTAAAATTTTATACCACAGGATTTATCCTGCACAAAGTTTAGGCTTAAATCACTCACCAAATATCAGAGGCTTATAATGAGGATTATGAAGAAATAACTGTCAGAATGTGGCAAAAAGATTAGTGCAAAGTACAACCCTCAGGCAGGTCCTGGGAGGCACGCCACACATACAGTATTTCTTTCTCCAAATTAGGCAGGAATATCTGGATCTATTCAGTTACCTTTCTTTTGATTTGATGTAACTTACTTATCTATTTTTATAGAAACATGACATATAAATGAAAATAGTGAAAAGCACAGCAGTGTGCCTGAAAATTGGTGCAAATGCCTACTGTGTTAGATCATGTTCAAACTTCTCCCATAGTTACAGTGGGTTTTAATTAGAACACAGTAAATGAAAAAACTCTTCAAAAATTTTTGGAAAGAACTGTTACAGTTGCAAATTGTATTGCTATTATTCTCAGTTATAGCTCTTCCAGATGCCATAATAATTTCATCATCTGAGAACTTATTTCTTAAAAAAACCAAAAAACCACACGTTAAATTTGAGTATCCTGATAGTGTTCAACTGATAGTGTTCAAATGGCTTAAAAAGTAGAGCTTTTTCTTTTGCTCGTTTGAATCTTGTAGGAAGAACAATGACAACAGTTAAGCCTTTATAGGCATGAAACCCCATGTTTACCAAATAATTTTACTATTCATTCCTGACATTGAACACTGAAATCATGTCAAGATTTTGAGATTAACTTGTCCTGATTGGTAGTATTCTAACAATAAGTAAATCTTTATACCCAGGTACACATGCTAATGACTAGTGAAAAATGTAGGTATCCAGATGTTCTGTGTACATGCTTCTGAAAAAACTGCATAGGACTTGTAAATATGGCCATTTGAATGGGCCTAGGCTGATAACGAGTCACTTGGGGGGCGATGTGAGTTCTGGAGAGTAAAATCTGGCTGCTTCCGCATTGCTTGGGACAGGGCCAGGCAGCGTGTCGCCGGGGCTCAACAAAATATTGTTGACTGGCAGGTGGGCTGGCTGATTGTTTTGCACGGTCCCAGCCTGTAGAATGTGAGGGTCACACAGACCCATCAGCACATTCACTTCCCCGGGTCTAAAGATGGAGCTGCTTATCATTCACATTTCATGTCAATTCTGTGTCCAGGTCAGGGAGAGAAGCAATGCCCATAGTTTCAAAAGGGAGGATGCATCCTGGAGTTTCTCCAGTGCCAGAGCTCCTCCTGCTCTGGATCAGCATGACTGGGGACTTGAGAGTCACAGTCACATGATGTCAGACTCAAAGGGGTGTTGCTTCCCAGCCTTTATGCCCTCTCAGAGAATAAAAGTCAGCCAGGCTCTACCAGCCCTTCTGCGGAGGTTGGCTGAGCCAGCAGTACAACTAATTCTCACAGAACTTGTTTGGAAGTAGCTGATGGCATAGCGGTTACTCTCCTGCAGTGTCAGTTGTGCTGCGCACTGATGGAGAATGTGATTATGGGGTGAACCTCTTTCACAGAAATACATTTATTTCTCTCGCTCCCACTTTTGTTCTCATTTGCAGCCAATTGTAAAGAGTCTGAAACATGGAAAATTAGTTGAGCTATATTAGTAAGTAGGATGCCTTTCTCCAATTTTGCATACCGAGTTTATTTTTAGGGTGTATATATGGTATAGATTCCCCCTCGCACTCCTCATTTCTAGCAGCTCTCCACAGAATCACACATTTTAATGAGCCTAGGGCACAGGTGTTGCAGGAAAAAAAATAATGATGTTTGCCATTCATCTTTCAAATTAAATAATGTGTTTTTAAATAGTAACTTTTTTCATAATACATTATGGGAACAACATTTATCTGTCACATTTTAAAAGATGTATTTGTAATAAATGTAAATTACTTTTAGAAAATCAGTAATTAGGCTCATCAAAAAATAAACAATCTGCCACAAAAAAGATAATCTTTAGCATAGTTAAGTATAATAACTGTTATTTGAATAAGTTAACAAATTAGGGTAGATTGCTTCTGTAATTCATTTCCTATAGCACAAGTTTAGGTTACGACATTAAGCTGCAGGAGTGGGGGTGGCGATGGCACTTGGCACCTCACATTGGTAAAACACAACTCTCATATTCAAAAGCTCAAATTTTCTTGAAACTTGACTGAGATAGTATATTCATCATTGGGGCTTAAAAATGGGAAACGACAGTGTTTTTGTGTTACTTTTAGAACTGTATCACCATCTCAGAATTATCAATCAATAGCTGTCTTATTAAACATAAAGAGTGAATGACTTTCTTTAAAAATTTGATGGAAATTAGTCTGTCACCTTCAGGCAAAATTCAAAAATTCTGTTTTTTATCCAAACACCATTAACTTGTCGCTTATTCTTTCTGCATTTGCTTTCTGGGCCTGTTCTCAGTCTGTGTGGATAAATAAAAGCCACTTCTTTCACATCAACCTTCCCTGCCTGTGTGAGTCCTCAGACCTGGCTGTGAGTAGGAGCTGTGACAGCACAGCCTTCCCCGGGGGAAGCAAATGTGATGACAGTTACTTTAGACAGAAGCATAAAAGGGAGGCCCAGATCAGGAGACACAGCCTTTAGCCTAATCATGGCTCATCTTCAGGCCCTGAAGGAAGCTGGCAGCTCTGGTGCAGGAACCTGAGAGAGGGCGTGGTCACTGTGCATGGGTTTGGGTCAGAGGGTGTAATTGCAATTTGGAGAACCATTTTTCCTCCCTCAGTGGAAGAATTCAAGGCCCCGAATTATTCAGCTACTTCCTCAAATTGTGTCTTCTTCTTACCAGAATGATGTAACAAGTTAATGTCGCTAAAAATGTCATTTGTGACTGTTTGCCCCTCTTTGGCTTCACAGTTGCTTGCATTGTGGGGAGTATTTCTTCCACCTAAATGTCCTTTTCAGATAAATATCTGCCATGACCATTCTAACTTGTATTTTCTCCTATCATGGATTTGATGACTCAAACTCATTATATATATACATATATGTATATATACATATATATATGTATATATATGTATATATACATATATGTATATATATGCTAAAATAGATTAAATATGCATTAAAAACATGAGAACTATACGTACCTTTTGGAGAAGGTTACATTCTACCTATGCATATTTCTATGTCGTTCTTCATCAAGGTTTAGGAGATCTTCACAGGTTAACTTCACAGGTTAAAGTTTTGGGGTTGGGAAGCAACGCAGCCTTGTCTTTGGACTGCTGTGCCTTTGAGGAGAGCCCAAGCAGCCTTATGTTCCTCTGGCATCCCAGACTCGCCTGGGTTTTCTGAACATTCTTTTTCACCGCCCAGCCTTGGAGGAGTAGCTGACTGTGAGCTTTCTCCGCAGACATTGGAAGCTTGGGGTAAACCATCCACTTCCTTCCCAATGTCAGATCCTTTCTGAGGGGGAGGACATGCAAGAGCCACCATGTCTGCATCGTCGGCTGAGAGAGAAATGTCACTGCACCTAGGAGAGCCCGCTGCTGCTTGTGATGGCACCGCAGCCTCCCTGTGACCTGCAGGCTCATCTGGAGGAGGGCTGGAGGCACAGGGCTCGTCTCCATCAGGGTCATCCTCAGCACAGGCCTCAAAGAAGCACTCAATGTCTTCCCTGTCTTCCAGGCCAGAGTCAGTCATGTCCAGAGGCAAAGGAGTGTTGCTCTTCTCTTCTATGTAATTGGTGACCTCCCCACAGTCACTGTCATGCGATGAGAGAGATAAGTAGGAATAAAAGTCCCCTTTTCTCAGCTGGATGGGCCGGTGAGAATGTTCTAACACTTTCTCCTTGATTTGAGTTAATGAAGTAGGAGCGGCTGCCTCAGTTTCCGGTTGAGATTTACTTTTCAGGGCAGTGGAAGCCATGCCAATGATCTCCTTAACAAAGTCATGTACTGAACCATCCTCGGCATCTTTCGGATGGAAAACACCTGACTCACAGCCACAACAGGAAACGTTGTCACCAACAGAGGCATTTTCCTCTGTTTCATTTTGTTCAAGTTCTAGGCAGCAACCAGCAGATTTTCCAGCCAAACTTAGTGCATCATCACATGAAGATTGCAGTACCTCAGAGTCCTGTCTATTGGTGACTGTGGTTTCTGGAGGCAGTTCTGGGCAAGACTTCTCAGCGGGAGTAGAAGCAGCCGTTTGATTTTCAAAATGGTGGTGGTTTTGACATTTCTTTGGAAGATGTCTAACGGTCTGGGAGACAGATTCTCTTCCAGCAATGTGTGAATCGTCTGAGCTATCCATAGCTGCTTCGCACTTACCGTGCTCACTCTCTGAAACCCTCTTCCCGGCTGAACCAAGATTCTCCGGTTCCTGTGAAATCTCATTAAGTTTGTCCTGCTGTCTCTCTGGAGTACTTTCGACATTGCCATTTTCCACGTCAGCCACATATGGGTCTTTAGTGACTTTGAAAATATTTTTCTTATTTTCACCCTGTGTTCCTAACTCATGGGTGTGGGGTAAATTCTTACTGTTTCCATTATTTTCAGAGAGATGTTTTATGGAGCCGTTTAGAAGGGCCTTAATGCTGAGGGTGTCAGAGGAATTGGTCATCTCAGTACTACTTATATCCTTACCGCCCCTTATTTCGTCACTGGGATGACACCTTCTCTTATCTCTAGTCAAGGAAAGCTTCGGCCTAATCCAGGTGTGCAGCTCATTCTTTATATAGTCCAGCCCTGACATCAAGTTGCACTCTTCATAAATCTCATCGTCTGTTGCAATACTGGAGTCATCATCCTCATCTTTGAGGCACAGCTCTTCTTCTGTCAAGGTGAGGGTAGAGCTGGAGAGGAGGTCACTGTCGTCTTCATCATCAGTGCAAGCAGAGGTGCAAGAGACGTTAACGATCATGCTGACATTGACGTCGCTTTCATCAGCCACTGAATGAGTCAGGCGCTTCCTGAATGATGCATTTGATTCTGGGATCTTGTTCTTGTGTAACACAATATCCTCTGAGCAAAGAGAGAGCTCATCACTGCTGCTAAGTTCTGTAAGAGATGCCGGCGAGTCTTCATTGATGGAAGATGCTATGTCCCAGTGACAGCTGGCCAGTAAAAGACATCTTTTGGGAACTGCTTTGAAGAGTGATATCGGAAACACTCCGCTTTATCTTTTGCTCTGAGGGACTCTGGATATTCTCCAAACGATTCAGGAGATCTAATGTCCTTTTACTCAATTCTCCAACTGAGCCACTGCTCACGCTTATGTCCCCAGAGCTGTGACAGCTGAAAAGATCTTCATTGCTTTTATAGGATGTCAACCAACTTTCTAGAGAAGTGCTTCGCTGGAGGCTGTCACTTCCATTTTTAAAGATACCCAGTCCAAATAAATCACCCACTGGAGAAAGGGACTCAACAGATGAACTATGAGATAGAAGGGAGAGCTGTTTGGCATTCTGCATGCCAGTGAGTGTCTTCTCCATATCACCACTTTTATATGAATTGTGATCCATTTCATGGGATGCACTTGCCAAAATCCTTTCATGGGGAGGTGTATCCGGTTGTAATTCTGTAGCTTGATGTTTAGATTTGCAGGACTTTTTATCAAAATAAAAGCCATGGAGCAGGGGATCCTCTACATATGCCTTTTCACTTTGTGACTGTTTCATTATCATTGGTAATTTGAGTTTTGAGCCTTGGAGGTATGAGTAATCATAAAATGTAAACACATCATGCTTTCCTTGTAATTCTTCTCCCAAACAATCAGGGGTATGTTTGGTAACACTGTTTAAATCTCCAGCTTTTCCATTTACACAACCCACTGGTGAAATGGATGACTGAGAGCTATTTGGAAGCTTAATGGCTTCGTCCTCATCTTTAAATTTTTGCTTTAACATGTTAATGGCATCTCCCATTTGTGGTTCCAGATGTTCAGGTTCAGGGTTACTAGGGGACCCATCTACCATATTGAACAAACACATTTCAGAGTTGGTGGTGGTGTCAGTGTCTCCTTCACTGACTATTCCACTCTCACTGCCTGAATTCTGGCTCATGTCTCCTCCGTGGCACGGGCAGGGCTTCACCAAATTGGAACCCCCTAGTAGATCTGGCAAAGATTTGGTGGATGAGAATGAGGAGTCTTTACTAAGACTCTTAGTCAAAACACTAGGCTGTGTCATGCTGGTGAGCATTGGATTGTTTTTCAGGAATGGCATGTGGTTGTCATCATAGAGTTCCACATTGTGGAGGCTGTATACTTGGTAAATGTGGGGACTAGAGGGGGCAGTAATACTTGAGGCATACTGAGATCCCCCACGGTCACCTGCCTCTTCTTCATAGCCAGGGTCCTCACTACCTGTCTCTTCAGGTTTTGAGGCAGGCATGACAGGTTGGGGTTCTTGATTGAGGTCATTTGAGTCTTCATTCAAACTAATTAACTTGTTACTTATATCAGTTTCATCCCATTCCAGGGCATCCTCGCTGGTCCCAGTTAGGTCCATCAAGCCAGGATCAATCACATTCAGAGTCTCCTGTGTAGGGAGAGGAAAGGAAGAAGAATTAGGAAACATAAACATGAACATTTTATCCATTCAAAATCTCTTAGAAGAGTCAAGAAAGAAATTTGCTCCAAGCATAGATTTGAAAGATAGCATAATTATCAGCTCTATTCCTCTCTGGAATAACATCCAAAATTATTGAAATAGGCTGTTCTATCAATAGTAATTTGTCACTGGAGGCAATAACATAGATTAAAATGTAAGATTATTATAGTCAAGTTGTAATTTATGGAATTAACCATTCCCTATCGATTCTTCTTCATTTTTAACCTTGGATTGTGTGAGGATAAAACTGTCGGGTAAAAGAAGGTTAAAAGGAGTAGAGCCTCTGACATGTCCTCAGGAGGCATGCTCGCTCTGATGCTGTCTCAGTTCTGCAGCCACACAGGGTGCAGCCCTCTGGCCTCTGTTCCTGGGTTCTCCACTGGAAGCAGGTTTTGCCTGGGAAATAGAATCAAGTCGTAGCCACCTGTGGAGCCATTCATGTTCCAGAGGCTCTGGCGTGTCTTCCTTCCCCCCAACCTTCCCTTTCGGGGCAACACCTCCTTAGAATTTGGCCCTGCTCCCAATCAGACCCAAGATGAGCAACACTGGGCTGGTTTCCTCACCCCCATCTTCCTGGATCCTGAGTCTCGGGCACCAGGAATCCAGGGCAGTGCCTTAATCACAGTTCTCTCAGTCCTCTCTTCCCCGCCTCTCTCTCTGGCAGAGATTCCGCTTTGGTCCTTGTTGACTTGTTTCCCTATGTTCAGTCCCGTTCCTATTTCTTACAGACAGGAACCTCCCCTCTGGCCCTCCTCCAGCCCTAGAATAACAACCACCTGGAGACTTTCCTGACTCCCAAGGATGCAGTCGCCCAGATTCTCTTATGCTGCTCTCTGCCTGCACAGCTGGACCCTGCATCTTGGCTTGGACTTCCTGGTTTTAACCCTGTTTAGGTAGAACCTGACACATTCTGGGACACAGTAGTCCCTGAACTGGCTCTTAGACTCTGTCCTGAAGCCATCACCATCCTCACTTTCTGTCCAGCTGTCTGGATTCATGCCAGAGCCAAGGGAGGTGAGACAGGTGCTACAGGCCCTGACAGGTTCAATGACAGACAGAAACTCAAACAGAACTTGGCAGTTCAGCTTGTGCTTGCGCAGGTAGCCAGGCAGGTGAGCGTGGCTCTGGCACTGTGCGGAGAGGCCGAGGTGCTGATTTTGTTGCAGATCTGCATGGCCGTGGCAGGTTGCTAACCTATTATCTGAGCACCAGTCTCCTCACATCACTTTTTAAAGGGGGCTGGCACCTTCTTTCAAGATATAGTTCTGAGCACCAAATGAGCTACTGCATGTGAAGGGCTGAGGGGGAGTCAGTACAGGTAGTTATAATTCTCAGTGCGCACACACTTCTCTGGAGTGGCCTTGAGTCAATTCATAAAGGGTTCTCCCTGCCTACCTCCTTCTCTCCTCCTCATGCTCCTTTCCATTTGCTCTTAAAACCACAGGGGATTCATGACAGGGTAGGTCAGTGGTCAGCAAACCGCGGCTCACGAGCCACATGTGGCTCTTTGGCCCCTTGAGTGTGGCTCTTCCACAAAATACCACGTGTGGGCGCGCACGTACAGTGCGATTGAAACTTTGTGGCCCATGCGCAGAAGTCGGTTTTCGGCCTGGGCGAGCCTATTTTGAAGAAGTGGCGTTAGAAGAAGTGGGGGGTGTAGGTCCATTGGGCGGGTGGGACGCAGGATAAGCAGCATGGGGCGGGGCGCCAAATATCAACAGTACTTAAACTATGTAGGTAGGTTAATAACAGTGTACCTACCTATATAGTTTAAGTTTAAAAAAATTGGCTCTCAAAAGAAATGTCAATCGCTGTACTATTGATATTTGGCTCTGTTGACTAATGAATTTGCCTACCACTGGGGTAGGTAAAGGGAGGTGTCAGGCAGTATAACGGGTCAGCACATTTGCATTACAATTCAGATTTACTCTACCAACCTGGTTGAAAAAAAACGGGCCGAATGCTCTGCTCCTCAGAGTGGGAAAAGGCCTCACAGCAAAACATTAGCAGAACTTTCCTAAGTCCTCAATCCTCTTGAAACTAATAGTTAGGGGATACCACACAGACACATGAAGTATAAAACACCCATTAGCACTTTATTATACTGGATATGTAAGAGATTATCTGTATAGCCTACTTAAGTTTAAAAGAGTCCAGTTACAAAGTAAACATTAATTAAGGGATATTTTTAAATTTTATTACAGAAATCTTTCCCGCTGCCAATGCTACAGCAGTTAATCTAGCCCACCGCACTCATCACACTCACTTAGGTATGGAGTCCATTCGCGGTGATGAATTTTTATTAGAATTTCTGTTTATTCTTCGCTTGCTGATAACGGCAATACTAATGACTGGCTAGGATGGCTAATGAATGTTAAAATCTTCAGCTGCAGGAACAATCAATCAGTCTAATCAAATAGTATATTAATTTCAAATACTATCTTGGCTGACACTATACTCTGAGAGTGCTAATAAATAACTGAACTGGTCTTTCAAAGGAGCTCTCCTTGTAAGTCTCTGGTTGACTCGAAGGAACATTTAGCAGCACAGATTTTCCATGCGAGTCCCACACCCAGGGGGCTCACACGGCTGCAGGAATTGTGCCACCTGGACGCGTGCCAGGAGCTCAGCCCAAGTGGTGCCGGAGACTCGGACTCATCTTCCATGACACAGTCATTTTCTGACAAATGCTGCCTTATTGGCTTTACAAATGCAAACCTAAGAAAGTATAAAACTTACAGCAGTGCCTAAAAGAACAAGTTCTTTGTTCAATAAAGTGATTGGAGTGGAAAATTTTCACAGAAAATAATTAAACTTTTGGATATAATATTTTCTTTTCCCGTTCTTAATTCTCTTCTATAAATCTCATAAATTTACTATAATTTCTGAATTTTTTTTTGTATGTCAATTCCAGTGATATCTGACAAGCTCTGTTCATAAATCGTTCACTTTAGACTTTAAACTTTCCATATTAAAAAAGCACTACTCACTCTGCTCTCATTCATTCTTTTCTCTTGTGGATTAAATTATGTCAACATTTTCAATAAAGATCTCCATTTCCTCAAGATTTAATCCTCAAACATAAAACATACCCTGGGGGCAAAACCATGGGGAATGTTTCCAAGAGGAAAGACATTAGAATATTTATATAACTAAAAAGTTGTATTTGAAAAAGGGACATATGAATCGAGTAATATAACTGGTAGGAAAATTATTTAGTTGAATGTTCTCTTTGAAGCTAGCCCAAACACAGTCAATAATGTTCAAGTTAATTAAGCATTTGTGTTGTTATTTTTCTAGAGGAATTGTCTGATACTTAAACACACATACACACACACACACACACACACACACACACACACGTGTGTGTTCCTATCTTGGTAAAGTGATAAATCAAAATTGGATGAGCTGGGGAGCTGTGCGGTCAGGCTGCCTGGGTTCCCAAGGAATGAGGGGTGGAGTGAGGGTAACTCACCTCCCTTTTCTTATCCCCACATAGAAAAAAAAATGGATGTAGACAAAATCTGAGAATATCTGACTGAATCCAAAAGACTGGTAAGGTAAGTATTACATGCAGTTTCAATATAGAGTCAGCAATTCCAGAGGTAATTCTGAATTAAATTAATTTGTGCAAGGGTCTTTCATTCATAACCTTGCTTCACTGGTGCAGAATTTTGGCTTAGCCCAAGGGCTTTATATAAGTAATTACACACACACACACACACACACACACACACTTTCACAGATCTGCTCAAGAAATGACTAGAATTATTCTTGGAAGCAGGTTATTTATATTAGCACAATATATACTAAAGAAAGTAACTAAAAGTGGCTGGAGAAATGCTGATGATGAAGAAGAAGAAGAAGAGGAGGAGGACAAGGAGGAAAGAATCAAGATTCCAACTGCAGCAAGTAATACATATCCAAATTAACTTCCTTCTGTACTTGTATGTTTTTAATTGAGTTAGGTCTCCAAGGATTGCATTTCTAGTATTTTCTTAAAATTTTAGGTTAAAAGGTGAACTTTTATAAGAGATAAGACATACATTGGCAGTTAAACAGTGGAGATGAAGGAAGCTGGCATTCTATAAAACAACTCAACTGTGATTTGATACAACTACATCCAGATTCCTTTAATTTTCTTTAAAAAGTTGCATCTTTTGAAAATCTAAAGAATCACAAAATGAGCAGGATGTTCTTTTTGTGACTCCACTCAAATGTTTGGTGCTCAGAATGAAAGAACCATAGGAGGACTTGCAATTTGCATTCCCGTTTATTCTAAATCCAGGAGTTTATTGAGTAATATCACTTGCAAAGCTCTGGGAGAAGAGATTTATCTGTAGAAAAGCAGAATACAACAAAAACAAATAATAATAATAAAAACATAAACAGTTTGCATGTAACTGAATAAAGATATATATAGTTACCCTAAGGAATAAAGCAGACCCACAGTTTGAGGGGGCAAAGAGCAGGAGGGAGAAAATCATGTATGTATCAAAGTCAGAAAATCAATGGGAATGAGGGGAGATTCCAACCTTCGTATATTCACTCTAATTTTTTTTATGCAATATTTTCCCTAGCACCCACCTCCAAACCTAAAACCAAAGTGCCTGAATATTAGATGCATACTTACTTTCCTAAATTAGACTTACGTAGAAATTTAAAAAACCAAACAACCCATCAACAACCATAACAACCAGCTAGTTTTCAGAAAATGGAAATATAACTTTTATGAAAACTTTGAGTTTGTATTACTCTGTCTCTTGTTGAGCAAAGAATTGAGTCAGATTTAGCAAGAAAAAAATATATAGGTTAAAAAATAAATAGGGTAAAGAGCAATGATCACTATCAACTATTTGGGGATTTGGGCCAAAAACGCAAACAGATCTGGGTTTGAATCCTGGATCCCCGCTCTCACATGCTAGCTC